AAATTGTATAATGCACTTCCTGCCAATATTAAAAATATGAATATGTTTTGTTTTAAAAATGTTATAAAAAATTTAAAAAAAACTGTTTTTATTCCACTTCAGAATATTTAGAACATGTGCGTAGACACACTTTTGATGCAAGGAAGATGCTCGCCCAACCTCCACACTCAATTTGAATATGTTGATATACCCTGTAAACTTGTTACAAATTTTTATTGTTACTTTTATTTTATAGACTTGTCATAAATGTATTTCATACATAACGTGATCAAATAAATATATCTATCTATCATTAGGCGTGCCTTTACAATCGTGTCTTATTCAGGTGTGCCTTTACACGCCTGAACAAGACAATATAGATAAAACTCCAGTGTTGAATAGATCGGCAGTATATAAGTTGACTTGTGATTTTTGTCCAAAATTTGATATTGGTCAAACCGGAAGAAACTTTTACAAAAGAATAAAAGAACAGAAGTAGCTTTTTGAATGAAAGAAAGTCTGTGCCATGCTATGAAAGCATGACACAGAATTTGTTTAGACAGTATTGTGACGCCCGAAAATACTATTGTATAACGAAACACGTGTCACGGTTTTGTAAACTGTCAAGTGAAAACTTCACATTGAAGTGTTTTTGTTAATACATTATAATAGATTTTCATCAAGTATCGGTCACTTCTTTTTTATTTTCGACACAATTGTGCTGAAATTCAACATATGTACTTATACTTTCAGGTCCTTGAGGTTACCTGCACAAGTCTTCATAAGTCTCTCTTGCCAGACGTGATGAGTAAATGTCTTACAAGGTTCTGTGTCTTACTTTCTCATCCTTACCGCGCAGTGAGACACTTGGCTTCTCGATGCCTGGCTACTTTTGCAAAATTGGATTCCGTTAAAGTGATAGAGTTGGTGGTCAGTACAGTTTTGCCAAAGTTGGGTGCAACGGACTGTGAGATTGACAGGTATATGACGGTAAATGTTATAGTTGTTACTATTTTTTCTGTTACGACTTCTTTTAGACAAGGAGCTGTGGAGGCGATTGCTTGTATAGTGGACGAACTGAAATTCGATATTATTCCGTACGTAGTACTGTTGGTTGTTCCTTTACTTGGAAGAATGTCGGACCAGAACATGTGCGTGAGGCTGATGGGAACTCATAGTTTTGCCACTCTCGTTCAACTGATGCCTTTGGAAGGAGGGTTTTCAGAACCACCTGCTCTAAAAGGTATTTATTTATGTTCATGAATCATAAGTCTATAGAGCAAGTTGATTACATAAATTTCTTGAAATTTATTTGGATCACAAGCTTACATGAAAAATTTATATAAACAGTCTAGTATCTAAATTGAGTAGTATTTGCTTTGTTATTTGACAACTGCATGGTACTCTCTCTTTGGATATTCTTAAGTCTCAAACTAACATATCACGGACTTGCTAATTCCTTATCTAGCTATGGTCTGATATTCTGGTGGTACTTCTGCTTACGTATTTCTTATACAGAAGAAATTATGAGATGTATGGTCAAAGTTCATCATCAGGCGAGCTGTAGACGAATATTTGAAAGACTGTCCATTCTAACCGTGCCCTGTATGTATACATATTTAATAATCAGCAACATCAAAAAAGAAAAACAAAGTCTTGTGAGAGGAAATACTCTACCTGAGTATACCACTCGTAATGCAAAAAATCGTTAATCGAATGGACCGAACCAACTGTCCAAATAATATACACCCATATTCCACAAGGAAAATACAAGAAATAATTCCAAACCACACCCTACCAATTACCAGCCAGAGTCCCACAGTTATGGGAATTAAAGTGTACAACCATCTACCCCCTACTCTGAAATCACTTACTGCAACTTTAGGTTAAAACTCAAAGAAATACTCATTTGGACTCCCTTCTACAGATTGAATGAATTTTTTAATGAAATTTTAGTATAGTTTTAATGTGATATAATTTACTTATATATATACACCCACTTTATACACCAGGTACTACCACTTTATATAACTCTAATATTATTTTAAATTTTATTTTAGAATGTACTCTTNTTCACTACTCCAAACGAGTAGAGTAAGATTGGAACGGCAAGCATATTTGTTGCAGCTACTTTGTTCTTCCCCGACAGTTCCGATGACCAGATCTGTCGAAGTTTGTGCTGATACTTGCCGCGGAGAGAGTTTTTCACTGCAGTTACCTCTTGTGAGTGGCGTTGTTCCACCCCGAGGTAAGTATACGTCTCTCCGGCATCCAGATGGTGTAGGATGCTTCCATCTACGAGCTGCACATCCTCTCCGTAGTCCCCGCATCGTCCTCTTTTGAGATGGACCATTGCACATTCGTCTATCCCAAATTTCATACCGATAGCATGCGTGTACTCTTCCACCACTCTCAAGGACTGATGGAGATCCTTCTCTCCAGAGGCATAAAGTTTAAGATCGTCCATGAGGGACATTGTGCCTCCGGTTTCCGGGGGTGTCACAGTTATACCCTCGAGTATTTCTGAGCGCTCCGGATAATGACAATAGTGAGATGCAGAAAAGAAGGGGACTGAGGGAATCACCCTGAAATACACCCCTTAATTAATTAATAAATATTATTATTACCTTGCCACGAAATTTGAACATTCACTTTATTTTTTCAACAGACCTGGTTTAGAAAGATTTTGTTACATTGACTTGTTGATAATCATAAGAAATTTTGAACACAACAATCACCGAATTATCGAATTAATTAATAAAAAGATCATTAACAGAAAAACTGAATCACTGAATGACAGATTTAGACTTTATTATTCTCTTAATAGAAACTGTCGAATGATTCTGAAAATATTGTATCCACAGAAAGCAGCCTGTTTATGAAACGTGACAAAGAAAGAGAATTCCTCCAACAGCTGCTCTCACCCACATGTATTCCGGATTATGAAATTCCTATCCAGATCGATGCCGAACTACGAAGTTACCAGCAAGCCGGTGTCAACTGGCTGGCCTTCCTGAATAAGTACAAACTCCACGGTATCTTATGCGATGATATGGGACTTGGAAAAACACTGCAGAGCATTTGCATCTTGGCCGGTGACCAATACTATAGGGAACAGAAATTTAGAGAGACCCGATCACCTGATTGCTCTCCGTTACCGTCCATGGTGATTTGTCCACCGACTTTGACAGGTATCTATTTCTATCCAGTTTACAAAATGATAGTAACGAATAGCTATAATAGTGGAGGCGAAACTCTATCAAGAAAATTGAGCTGAACATATATGATTACAATTTTAATTTTTTCAGGTCACTGGGTATATGAAGTGGAGAAATTTCTCAGGCATAAGTACCTCCGCCCTCTTCAATATAATGGCTCGCCTACGGAGCGAGAGAAGCTCAGACATAAATTTAAAAAGTACAATTTAATCGTAGCTTCATACGATATTGTTCGAAAGGACATTGCTTTCTTTTCTAACATCAAGTGGAATTACATCATCCTCGATGAGGGTCACATCATTAAAAACGGTAAGATATGGCTCTTTGCTGACTAGGATCAAAACCTCGTTTCCAAAATATTATTTTTAGACAGAAACTTTCATTTGTAGGTAAAACGAGAACTAGTATGGCAATAAAAGCTTTGGTAGCAAATCACAGATTGATATTGAGTGGTACGCCTATTCAGAACAATGTCTTGGAGTTGTGGAGTTTATTCGACTTCCTTATGCCTGGATTCTTGGGTACTGAAAAACAGTTCACAGCAAGATATTCCANGAATGAAGCTTTTATTTGCTACAAAAAGTTCCTTATTTTATTGATCTGCTTTGCTGTCAACCTCATTATATCTGGGGTAATGAAATATTCAAAAAACTCAAGTGCTGGAGTACCTTGAATTTTGCAGCCTGAACTGAATTCGTCAAATTCGTAAACATAAGGTGAGAGAACTCTTTGGTTGACCATGCAAATCTGCCTTGTAAAGGGAGTTCTCCTTGTTCGATTCTTGAGATTGATTCATCAATTTCCATCACATTCAAGTTTTGTTGGCTCGTATTCAAAATAAAGCTCTGTATATCTGCCACATTTTCATGTTGATTTTGCAAATTTTCAGTATCAGATAGTTCGACATCTGACGATAGCGACTCATATTCTTGATCACTGTCATCGCTTCTAGCCAGCATCTCTTCCAACTCTTTATCAGTCAAATATTTCTTTGTCATGATTAAATAATTTTACACAAATACACCTCAAAAAACAATAAACACATCTAACATATACTGCCTTTTGTTTATGTAAACAGGTCTAAACAACGCACTGCTGTCACTAGAACTAATGTTTACCTAATCAGCTGTACAGCAGCGTTGCCATCGCAGCTAATTTCTCGCTCCAATTGGCATGTGCGAAATACCTACGCGAAAATATGCGGCTAGAGCTGTCAGGTCGTATTCAATTTTGAAATGCGAGTTATCACGTCTTGAGCAATATACCCACGATCGAGTATACTCGTCTTGAGCAGTGAAAGGGTTAACTGTTTGAACTTTGAATCTACTAGGGTCACTAACCAATATTGTATCAATGAAAAAAAATTGACACATCAGGTTTTCTCTTGACATCAAAGCATATATTGTAAAAAATACAAGAATCAACTATTCTTAGAGAAATTATTACTCGATGTACAATAAGTATTTATGATTTTCGTGAATATTTGTCTTCTGGTAGGTCCCTTTTAAGTTTCCAACAATGATCTGCTAGTATTTCTGGACTCCATTTCCATTGATAACGTTTCTCCATGTTCGTCACTCACAGCACCCAAATCTAAATGAAAGTCCAACATATGTATTTTTTAGGGCAAATTACACCCCAAAGCTTTATATGACATTATTTGTTCCTTTATTAAGTCTTTGTGTTTTCCGCTTTATGATTTCCTAGGAAATTTTGGTAAGTATATAGTAATAAATGCTTTTGGACTTTTTATATGAATTATTTGAGGAATGAAACACATACAATTTCATGTAAATCTTTTACAGGACTCTATTTCTTCTGGTTGTCCTTCTAGTTCTGTTCATCGAAATACTCACATATTCCAAGCGCTTCGTTATCTACAGAACGTCTGCAATCATCCCAAACTGGTTCTGAATCCTTCACACCCACATTTTCAAGCAATAATTGCTCAACTTCACCGACAAAAATCTGCCCTAGACGATATATCGCACTCGGCGAAACTGCCAGCTTTAAAGTAAGAATTGTTCTTTGTAACTGTGGTATCAAATACTTTGTGTTAAATTTTTGTGCAGGCAACTTCTTCAAGACTGTGGTATAGGCGTAAATGAAAGCACTGATAAAGAATCGACTGATTTAGTAGTGAACCAACACAGAGCATTAGTGTTCTGTCAGCTCAAAGCCATGTTAGACATTATAGAAGAAGATTTGTTCAAGAAGAATATGCCGAGCGTAACATATTTGAGGTTAGACGGTTCCATTCCGCCCATACAAAGGCATTCTGTTGTGACTAGGTGAGAAATCTAGTACTTCTGTGCGAGAAGTCCACATTATGGAAATTATAATCTTTTTTCAGATTCAATAATGATCCTTCCATCGATGTTTTGCTGTTGACAACACAAGTTGGGGGCCTGGGTCTCAATCTGACTGGCGCTGACACGGTGATATTTGTCGAACATGACTGGAACCCGATGAAAGATCTTCAGGCTATGGATAGAGCCCATCGAATAGGACAGAGGAAGGTAGTTAATGTCTATAGACTGATTACGAGGGCTACCCTGGAAGAAAAAATAATGGGGTGAGTAGTTACTTTATTTAAAACCAATTTAAATCGATGCACTTATATTCGTTTCATGATCCTTTCCTGATTCGGCTGCAAAACACAACACAAGCACATGCACTTATGTGGTTGCAGTTTCCTCAGTATAGGAATAATTAAATTGAAGGGGTTATATTTTTAGGAGTGATTAATTTTTTGGGAAAGAAAGTTTTTGGCTTTCTACCACTCCATCTTGATACAAAAAAAGATGAGGGAATCTTCCAAAGAAAGGAAGGAAGTCATCAATTTGAAAATAAGTAACTCTATACATGGATGTGTAGATCATGCAAAGAAGTAACTTTCAGACACAAACTGAAAGAAAGTCCTCCTGAAACAGATACTTTCATATAAACATTGAATTACACGAAAGAAAAAAATTCTTTCGAAACAAATACTTCTATATGAACACTGAATTATATAAATATATATAAATCCTTCATTTAGCAATGAAACTGCTAATACAATATATCTATAATCAAATACGACACCACAATGTGTTAGTCAACTAAACTCAGGAATAAAATTTCAAAGTATGAGTACTACAATAAATATACAACATCTACTTAAAATATCACAGTTGTTAGTCAATATAAAACACAGAAAAAATACAAATATAGAATACAAAAAAAGATACAGAAGATACTTTTCTTTACTCAGTTTATATTTCAACCATTCGTTGTGGAATAAAATCAGATATCATTCACATGAGTTCTACTTTAAATGAATGGTAACAAATAATAATTACTTTTGTATCAGAAACCTGAATTGCCAACCATGGAACTGTCAATAAATTTAAAATCTGAATATATATTTTTTTTAGATTGCAGAAATTCAAACTTCAAACCGCCAATACGGTGATCAGCGGAGAAAATAGTCAGATGGAAACGATGGGGACTGAACAGTTGTTGGATTTGTTTTCTCACACGTCGAATAATGGTAGAGATACTAACTCAGGGTCCAAGCCGAACACAGGAGTGAAGGCAATTTTGGAGTCCCTTCCAGAATTATGGGATAGCAAGCAGTATGATACAGAGTATGATTTGTCTCAGTTTATGACAAAACTGAAGTGATCAGGTGAGTTAACACCGGCTTTTTTTTACACTTTTTGATGCGTTAACAAAAATTATGGGGTCATCCAATGTGTGGGTGGACAATAGCTGCTTTTCTTTTGTCTTGTTTGAGTGTAACATTTTGTGAATAATTTAGGAAGTTAATGTTATTTTCAGTAAAAAACCCAGAACATTTATCAGTGAATCGATATCATTAACTTATCCAAAAATATCTTAAACTCCTTCTAACACCCTGTAAATAAAAAATAAATTACATCAACTTTCAATAACTACTTTCATCCAAAGTGAAATCATATATTTCTTGTCTGTTTTTCTGTTTTTTTTCAACCTTCCACAGCCTGAAGAATAAACTAAGCCAAATAGTACTGACATGTCCTATACTTTGTTAACGTCTCAAAGGATAGAATAGAATAGAATTTATTCATCAATCAAAGGTTATACAAGGCATTATACATACTGAGATATTTTATCTTTATGTATGTTTATTTTCTTTATACTATTTTAACGTTTTGTACTGACATGTCCTATACTTTGTTAACGTCTCAAAGGATAAATAAATATTATTATTATTGTCGTTACAAATAAGAGTGGTAAAAAACATAGAGACTTTCAATTCTCATTTTTCATGATTCTGTAATTATACTTATTCCTTCAATACTTTTTCAATATAGTTAATACAAAACAGAAAATGTATTATTCTACAATTGTTGAGAGTATTGCTAGTTTTTTGAAGGAAATCTAATAATATCATCACATCCAATGGGTTATTTGTTGACTTGTTTTTTACTGAATACTATGATGAAATTCATTAAACAATAATAGAAATAATTACAAGTGAATTAAATCTCAATTACAGGTGCGATCCTGAATTCACGCCTGTTATATACCACCATCAGGGCGAGGACTGTGGTAGCCAGAGAGACCCTGCGAGGCCCGGCAATTATAACGGTATAGTGACTCTCAATAATCAACAGAAGAGTGCGGAAAGAGCTGCATTGAAAAGGTCAAATAGTACTGGAAGGGGTCCAGGTCGACCCTCTGCCATGGACATACCTGTAGAGGAACTTTTCAAAGAAGAGGACGAACTTCAGAGAGCTAACTATATTCAAAGAATAAGAGGAACAACAC